ACTATATCGTACATCTGATCATAACTTGATCAGTGCTGCAAATACACATCAGTACATCGAAGATTTGCACAAGAACTTACAGCATGTGTTTGCTTTTGCCCAAAAGAATCCAGAAAAAGCGGTGACAGGGGTTAAAACCTATTACGATTTAAAAACCACAAAAAAGATGAGATAACAGATCAAGTATATCTGTATAACTTTGCATAAAATCAAGTCAAGCGAAATAAATTTTTACCTTCTTGGAAAGGGCCATAAGTCATAATTGACCAAATTTCCCCAGTAGCGTACAAGATAAAAATTCCTAAGGATGGTGATTTTATTGAAAAGTGGGTTCACATTAACCAGTTGCATGCTTGTCATCCTAAATCTCAATTAAGGATTATAGGTGAGGATTCTGATGCAGAAGAGTGAACGGCTAACCTGGATGAATGTTTGATTCACATGGTATCGTATGATGTGAAATGTTGTGTTGTGCCACGATCTCATGTATGTTCATGTCATTAATCATTTCCTTGCCATCCAATAACTACATTTTCTAAGCGGGTTACTAGCTTGTTTAGCTGCTATAGGCGAATTACTGAAGAGTCAGTAATAAATGTAGTGAGGGATGAATTTATAAAAATATAAATAGACAAAATGCATAACGTTGATGAATCGTAAATAATGTGTTGTCCTAGGCCAACTGATGTCACGCGATCCGATCGCAGAGATGGGACCATCCTCCGGCATCCTGATTCAGGAGACACTAGGGTTCATCTTGACAGAGAAGAGGATCCTGACCCATCGTGTGTTCATCAGCGTGGACCTCAAGATTTCCATCGAGAAGGCGTACAACATTTCATCGATGCAGCTTCCTGAGTTACAAACCTGGTACCAAATGCACCTCCAAAGAGCACAGGACCGGGTGCAAAACATCTTGGAGCAAGCCCGGAAACCTTTTGTATCCAGTACTATTTCAATGAGCAACTGACCCAAAAGGTTCCTCACCGCTATAATTGTTGCATTGGTTTGTGCCGCTGTCGGTGCAGTTGTCGCAACTGGAATGTCTGCAGTTAACTCTATCTCAGTTCAAAAACTTGATATGGAAATCTTTGCGCTAAAGCAGCACATTAATAATAATAATCAGGTGATAAAACAGCAAAGAACTCTTCTCCAGGATGTGTTAACTACTGTGGAAGACACAGTTGTTAAAACAAATTTGCATTCGGAGTTAATTGCCAAGTCCACTGAGTTGCACCAAAGTTACGGCTTATTTAAGCGTGAACTTCTATTTCTGCATCACCCAATATTATTCCACACGCTTGCTTTTCTTGACTAACTGCAAACCAGAATGAAGGAATTGGCAGGGGCACGCATACCTCTGTATTTTGTATCCAATGATTTTGTTCATGCGATGCTTGCTAATGTGGATGGAGATAAAATTGAACCTATGCAATTAAATCTGGCCTTTGAGATGGGGAGTGCTCTACCTCTCTTGATTGATCCGGGACACATGGAGATTTGCTTTTTATTGTTTGTTAAAAACATTTTCCAAATGGAAACAATTTACAATGATAATAATGGTATTATGGTTGATTGTACTAAATGTAAAGTTCAAAGCTCTTACAGGTACGATATTCAAAAATGTTCATTGTGTACGCACATGCCCAATGCCAGAAGAAGGGATATGAGTACACAATATGTCTTATAACGTCTTATGTGCTTATTCATAGACTAAATTAATCATTGCTATGTTAAAGGGACACTATAGTCACCAGAACAACTACAGCTTATTGAATTTGTTCTGGTGAGTAGAATCATTACCGTCAGGCTTTTTGCTGTAAACATTGTCTTTTCAGTGAAAATGCAGTGTTTACATTAGAGCCTAGTGATAACTTCACCGGCCACTCCTCAAATAGCTGTTAACCTCTTAAGGACATATGATGGAAATATTCCATCATGATTCCATGTTATTCCAGAAGTTGTGTCCTTAGGGGGTTAAAGAGCCTTCCTGGGTCATGGCTGCATAAAATGCATCCAAACATTCAGTGTTTCCTCCCTCTGCATGCAGACACTGAACTTCATTGATTCAATTCATCTCTATGAGGAGATGCTGATTGGCCAGGGCTGTGTTTGAATCATGCTGGCTCTGCCCTTGATCTACCTCTTTATCAGTCTCAGCCAATCCTATGGGGAAGCACTGTGATTGGATCAGGCTACCACTTCTGATGTCAGCAGACTGCTTGTTTTTCTGAGGCAAACAACATGCAGATCTACAGCTTCAGGCTTGAATAAAGTAAGATTTTGCTATATTTATGGAGGCATGAGGGGCCCAGATGGGCTAGATGGTGGTAACACTATAGGGTCAGGAATGCATGTTTGTGTTCCTTTAATCACTAAGGGGGAGGGGGGTCAGTATATTTATACTGGCAGACATTTTGTGTTAAGACAGAAATTAAAATTGTATACTGTCAATTGTATACACCATCAAAACAGAGGTGACTCAATTTTTTTAACAGAATACAAAGACAGACACAACTTTTTTCTCTCTGTTACTCTACTCATTCAAGCCTGAGCTAAGAAATGCAACTTAAGTAAACAGCAGAGATAAAACATAAGATATGGTATGTTTTCTACAGCAGGGGGAGTTGAATGTAACAACCCTGAGATATATATATATATATATATATATACACACACACACACTATCCACATACAACTTACTATTATTATATTAATCGTATATAAATAGTACAATGTTAATAATATAGAATTTTCATGGATATAATATCAATGAGGAAATGTCATATTATTTACTAATGTTAGTGGAATATGTGTAATCTAAAGTTCAGTTTCACACAAGAAAACCAGACAGGATCACCAATGACAGATAACACTAAGTAATTAATGAAATTAAGGGTACAGGTGTCCAATTCTAAATGATGACACCAAATTGCAGACGCTAAGACTGGAAAAATGCTTTGTAGATGACAGCTTCTTTGACGAATAGTAGCCATTAGAGATAACCAAGATGACGTCAAACGCAACACGAAATTCAGTTAACCCATTATACAAAAAGGTAAATGGACCCCCTGACAAGAATTTTCAGTGATGTAATAATCTAGATGATAGTCTGAAGGGAAGACACTCCCACATTTCTCTATTGGTCACTATCAACTAGGGACATATAGGAAATTCTCCTTTAAAAATTAAGGACAAAGGAGAGAGGGGGACTCTTAGACATAAACTCAAGACTCTTAACATCTAAGATCTGACATCTGGAGCCAAAGCTGGACACACCTTGTTAACCTCTTTCAACCCTAAATCACGAACAAAATGCCAAACGACCGACCACCTTGCATGTAGAGTGTGCCGCTTATTAGCCAGTGGTGTTTGTCGTCGACCGCATGGAACTGTTTTCAGTCATTATTTTACACAAACACTGCTGGGACCTCCAAACTTTTATCCATTCGTTTATAAACATACGAAAGCAGCGTCTTCGGTACTTTCATACTCACGAACAAGACCGACCCAGATGACTAAAAATTATGTAACTAATCCTGGGCTAAATTATGCCGAATGGTCATTGAGAAAACTTTAACCCCATGGCGATCCAACTGTATTTGTGAGATCTGAGTGCTTTTCGGTTATATTGAGCGCTCAAATCCAAGATATCCGGGGATATGTTGAACACAGGGGTTGAATTATGTATAATATGAGTTATATATTTTTATGTGGTGTTGTTACAGTCTTAACTTAAAGATATTTTCTGTACCTGGAGATAATTAAGTTACTATGGCCACTTAAGCCAATTATCTCCAGGATCGAGGGGAAGGTTTAGAAAAATGCACTTTGTTATGATTGGTTCAAGTTACTTGTGTTTCAGTGCCCCCACCAGGTCCAGTAGGTGTTCCCTGGCCTGGAAAAACTTGTATATAGCTGATGTATGTACCCATTAAAACCAGTCTTCTTACCCTCAACTCACAGCCTTGACTCGTGTTGTAGGGAAATGCTAATCACCAGCTCTGCTCAGAGCTACAAGAACCTTCTACACTTCCAGGGATATCGGTAGTTGCTGAAGTGGGACTCTTTGCCACTCTCCCAGCTCTGGGACAAGGACATCCAGGTGGTCCAACCCTCAGTTAGCCTGGGGCAACCGTAACATTTTGGATAAAAGCTTGTGATTCCAAACATTAAGGAGTCATGATTCGTTAATAATATATAGAATTCGTAATTCCATTACTTTTTACTTTAAAAATAGAATACCAGGCAATTATCCAAATATATTAGCTTATGTAATTTGGAAAAAGTGAATTTTAATTAAGGAAGGTAAAATTCTGCAAACTTAAAATTTGGTTAGAATTATTCTTATTGGATGGACATAGGAATGGTAAATGATTTGGTATGAGAAATATTGTGTTTGTAAAATTGCAATATAATAGGATATCTTGCCTATGAGGATTGTAGCCAGCAGTGAAAGAGTTAATTCAGTATGTTTTGACTGTCAGCCAAAGTTTTTATTGCTTTACACTGTGCAGCTGTGAGATGCTGTGTTCTGTGTTAAGTTGATTTCAAAGTAAAATGTCCTGTCGTAAATCTTGTTGTAAAATTGCATACAAATGTCGATATAATTTGCTATTTAGCTTTCTATAATTTGTGTTAAACCACTGCCATATTATATACTTATGTTATACCAAAATATTCACTGATGATATTACGCATGTTACATATTATTATTATTGTCACAATAAATTATATTTTTATAATTAACTTGTGATTAATGTGTGAAATAAAATCTGCTAATGTAACTTACTCTAGGATCTAGGAGAATTAAAATAGTGGGTAATTCTCAGCTTTAAATCATTAATCGGGAAAACAGTGCCAAGATATAAACATTTTTTTTTTTTTAAATTTGACAATTTTTATTGGACAGTGCATGCATATTACGGTCTTATTCACAGGTATTGTACTTTTTAGTTTGCATACTTTATATCATAGTATATACATACAGCACTTGCTTAGTAACATTTCCTTCATCGTTGCTATTTGCTCTCATGGTTGTGTGATGGTGCTTAGAGGATTCCGTAACAACATTTAGCGTTCATTGATATACAATGTTCAAGAACATATAGTAACATAACAAGGCTGTTCTGACAGATTAGTACTAGGCTTTACATACACTGTACCTTTTCAGTGGTGAGGGTTGGGTTTGTGAGGGGGGTGTGGATGGGAGGGGGTTAACTTGGTAGGAGAGACTTGCATTCGTGCATCAGGACGTCCCAGTGGTTCATGTGTCCTTTATCGTGGTGTGTTCTAAAAAATCATCCCACATATTGTGTGCTAGTCTCATGTGGTTCTTTACCCCGAATTGGTGAGCATAGGTCATTTCATAGGCCCAATTGAGCTTTATTTGGTTTATGAGGGAGAGTCTGGTTTGGGCTGTTGTTTTTTTCCAGAGCCTGACAATGCTCATGGCAGCTGATATGAGTATATGGTATATTGTCGCCCACTTGTCTTTAGAGAATGATTCTGGTGGGATAAATAGGATGCATAGCTCCAGGGTCAGTGTAATTTGTGTCCAGATAGAGTCTGTTATGATGGTGTGCACATCCTGCCAAAAGGATTGAAGGGTAGCACAGGTCCACCATATATGTGTCATAGTGCCTGTGTCCTGTCCACATCTCCAGCATCTATCTGAGGATTGTGGCCAAATTTGGCGGATCTTGACTGGGACTAGATACCAACGATACAACAGTTTGCGTTGCATCTCAATGTGAGTAGCGCATGAAGCTACACCTCTGTATGAGGAGTAGGCTTTAACCCAACCTTCCGTAGCTATGGTGCGTCCTAATTCCTTGTGCCATGAGTGTATGTATGTGTCTCTGTCTTGGTCTGGCTCCTGGAGTAGTGGTTTTCTATGGATACATATTAGTTCAAATTCGGACATGTGCATTGTGGGTTTGTTATGCGTCTTGCAGGGTTTGTTTTTTGTTAGGTAGGATTTGATTTGTAGGTAGGGGAAGATCAGTCATGGAGGGAGATTGAATTCTTGTTGTATGTCTGGAAAGGGCTTTATGTTTCCGTTGTGATAGAGTTGCCTTATTTCCCGGAGCCCACCTGTAGCCGTGGTTGTGTATTTAGGGTCGGTATTATGAGTTCTAGGGCTGTTAGTGGGGCTGCCATCAGCATTGGGAGATAGTGTACCATCTGGTGTTTAGAAGAGTCCCAGTGCTGTAAGATGTGTTGAGTTGTGGGTAAGAGATGTGGTCTCCTTTCTATGCGTTTTGGGGGTCCAAAACAGCGAGTGCAGTTTTAATGGTTGTGCCCAACAGTTCTCTATTTCTAACCATTGGGGCGAGGAGGGGTGCGCCTTTAGTTGTGGTACTATTGTTAGTGCTGCTGCTCTATGATACGCTGACAAGTCCGGGAGGCCCAGTCCTCCCTGTGGTAATGGCCTCTGTAACAGTTTCGCTGCTACTCTTGGTTTCTTATTCTGCCATGTGAATACTAGCAGCATTCTTGATAGGGTTTTGATGTAGTTCCCCGGTAGTGGGATTTGAAGGGTTCTGTACAAATATTGTAATTTTTGTAGCAAAGACATTTTAATAGCAACTATTCGGCCAACCCATGACATATATTTTCCCTCCCAGGATTCTAGCGCATTTTTAAAAACTGTGAGTAGGGGATGGTAGTTCGTTTTAAACAGGGAGGCGGGGTTCCTTGTCATTTTGGTGCCTAAAAACGTGAGGTAATCCTCTCTCCAGTCTAGGGGAAAAGGTTGATGCCCAGTGCTTGTGTGTGTGTTGTTACCCATGTGCTGCAAAAATAGTTGGGTGGGGTAGGTGTAGTATATTCACCTGTCCTGAGACCGGGTTTTGTCCTTATAATTGTCCAACAATCAAGTTCCAATTTAACTAAAAGTTCAGTATATAACAACAAGTACTGTGATCAGCGTATGGCAACTCACGCCATTTCAGCTGCAATGGTAAGTCCCGGGGTATGCCACCTCTCCGTTTGGGCTGCTTGTCAGCAATCACAGGTACGTGCTTTTTTCCAGTCTGGTTGAAGCTTGGCCGGTTGGTGATGGTTGTTGCTCCGCATCTGGCTTTGGAGTTGGATGCCCCATTGTCTCAGGAGTTTCCTTCCGTCGTCTGGGGAGGTGATGGCATGCATAGCTCAATTTTTGTGGATGAGAAGGCGGACCGGATGTCCCCAGCGGTATGGCACTTTGTGAAGCCTGAGCGCTTCTGTTATTGCTTTATACTCTCTCCGTTTTTGTAAGGTTTGTGCAGAGAGGTCTGTGTATAATTGTATGGAGTTGGATGGGGCAGGGAGGTCTTTGAGTTGCCTGGACGCCTTCATCAGCGCTTCCTTAGCGTGAAAATAATGAAGGTGAGTAAATATGTCCCTGGGTGCTTCTTCTGGCAGAAATTTAGGTTTTGCAACTCTGTGTGCTCTATCCATGAGCAGGACGGCCGCTGGTAAGTCAGGGGCCATTGCTTTGAAGTAGCCTGTGAGGTATGCCATGATGTCTGGTTGTTTGACTGTTACAGGTATACCTCTGACGCGTATATTCTGTCTCCTTGATCTGTCTTCTAGGTCCATAATTTTATTTTGGCAGGTCTCCAGTGTTCCATTTTTTGGACATGGTTCGCCATATCATTGTGTGCCTCCGCATATTCATCCCATACAGTTTTCCACGCGTGCCGTTCTGTCTCCCAATCCTGGACGTCCTTCCTCAGGTCTGAGATAGATTTATTAAAATTATGCAGCAGCTTGTCTGACATTTCTTCCAGACATGCTTGGAGTATGTCCTGCGTGACAGGTATGCCTCTTTCCCCTGGAGATCCTTGCAGCGGCAACGTGTTGTCACCATCTTGGTCTGGGTCTGATGTGCCCTGGGGTTTAGATGGCTTATTTCGGGCCGTAAAGAACCCGGTTTTGTCGGGGTTTACGGGGTTTCTCTTCCCCTTGACTTGAGCCATGTCTGGGCGTTTGTTTTAGAGGATTTGCTGGTCACTTTTTCTGCCCCTTTGAATCCATGGGAAGGAGTGCCTCTTCCCCTCCACCTGTCCCATTGTTCTCTAGCAGGGCGTTGTCCCAGGGACACTTCCAAACCAGTTGGAACTGGCTGTTTAGAACCTCCTCTGTCAAAATATGACTTCCACCTATCTCCTGAACCACTTAACCGATTCAAGTGAATTTTGAATATGTTTGTCCCTAAATTATGCTGGTTATAAAAATATAAGTTTTAATATTGCATGTAAACTCACAAAGTTAAAAAAATGGCATAAAAGTATGTTTTTTTAGCTTGGAGATAATTGAGTTCATACAGTAATTAACTCAATTATCTCTCAAGCAGAGGGGAGGATTCTTGTTGTAAAAAGTGGGTGTGATTATCCATGTGCTTTTATTTTATTGGTTGTTAAATTTACAGTTCCAGTGCCCCACAAGGTCCACGTGGGGGGTAACCTTGCTGGGACAGTTGTATATTACATAGTAACATAGCTGAAAAGAGACTTGCATCCATCAAGTTCAGCTTTCCTCACATTTGTTTTTTGCTGTTGATCCAAAAGAAGGCAAAAAAAACCCAGTTTGAAGCACAATTTTGCAATAAACTAGGAAACAAATTCCTTCTTGACCCCAGAATGGCAGTCAGATTTATCCTTGGATCAAGCAGTTATTACCCTACATTGAAAGATTATATCCTTGAATATTCTGTTTTTGCAAGTATGCATCTAGTAGCTGTTTGAACATCTGTATGGACTCTGATAAAACCACTTCTTCAGGCAGAGAATTCCACATCCTGATTGTTCTTACAATAAAAAAACCTTTCCTTTGCCTTAGACGAAATCGTCTTTCTTCCAGTCTAAACGCATGGCCTCGTGTCCTATGTAAAGTCCGGTTTGTAGATTTCCACACAATGGTTTGTACTGGCCCCGAATATATTTGTATAATGTTATCATATCCTCTCTCAGGTGACGTTTTTCTAAACTAAATAGGTTTAAATTTGTTAACCTTTCTTCATAGCTGATATTTTCCATTCCTTTCATTAATTTTGTAGCCCGCCTCTGCACTTTTTCTAGTGCCTTAATATCCTTCTTTAGAACAGGTGCCCAAAATTGCACAGCATATTCAATATGTGGTCTTACCAGTGATTTATAAAGAGGCAAAATGATATTCTCGTCCCAAGAATGAATGACCTTTTTCATGCATGACAATACCTTACTGGCCTTGGCCACTGCTGATTGACATTGCACATTGTTGCATAGTTTGCTGTCTATAACAATTCCCAAGTCCTTTTTGTGTGTTGTTATCCCTAATTCGCTTCCATTAACCCCTTTAGACCGGAGGACGTACAATTACGCCCTATTTTAGGCGGCTCTAAACCCCGCCGGGCGTAATTGTATGCCCTCCGGTTTTTGTTTACTTACCCGGTAAGCCCCCCCGCGGCAGATCCTTCTCCTCCGGTGACCCCCGGCCATGTGAGAGTGGGGTCCTAGCGAGGACCCCACAATCACATGGCCGGGTAGGCTGCCTCCTGCATTGCCTGTAATGACAGGTGGTCCCCCTGCTGGCTGAAAGTAAAATGAAAATAAAATGTATTAGTGTAAAAAAAAAAAGATATACTTAGATCATATATATATTATATATATATGATCTAAGTATATATATATACACATATACATACACACACATACACTGTCTAGGTGTATTTTACTATTAATATATATATAGTTATATAAATATATTAATATCAAATTACACGTAGACTGATACTGATTAAATATATATATAATTATTGTTATATATATATATTTATATATAATATAAAAAAATTAAATATGTAAATACGTAAAAAAATAAAATTAAAAAAATAATTTAAAAAAATTAATTAAAAAATATATAGATGTGTGTTATTTCGTTCTAACTGTATTGTGATATTAATATATATATATATTTATATCAAAATACACATAGAACGAAATAATATATATATCTACATACATAAATATATACGTATATATCACGATATATATACCTATATATAAATAAAAATATTTTTAAAAAATTATATAGATATACACATATAGATTCACATACGTATATATATACATATATTAATTCTACATATATATTTATGTAATATTTTTACACAATTAGGTATCTTAATTAATTACAATTAGCGGGACCTGCCTGACAACCCATGCTGAAAGTAAAGGGAATTTAATTTGCTAGCACTATATTTAACCTTATAACTTTCCAAGACACCATAAAACCTGTACATGGGGGGTACTGTTCTACTCGGGAGACTTCGCTGAACACAAATATTAGTGTTTCAAAACAGTAAAATGTATTACAACGATGATATCGCCAGTAAAAGTGATGTTTTTTGCATTTTTCATGCACAAACAGCATTACACGGACGATATTATTGCTGTGATAATTTTTACTGTTTTGAAACACAAATATTTGTGTTCAGCGAAGTCTCCCGAGTACAACAGTACCCCTCATGTACAGGTTTTATGGTGTTTTCAAAAGTTACAGTGTCAAATATAAGGCTTGCGTTTCATTTTTTTCACATTAAAATTTGACAGATTGGTTACGTTGCCTTTGAGACCCTATGGTAGCCCAAGAATGAAAATTACCCCTATGATGGCATACCATTTGCAATAGTAGACAACCCAAGGTATTGCAAACAGGGTATGTCCAGTCTTTTTTAGTAGCCACTTAGTCACAAACACTGGCCAAAATTGGCGTTTTTTGCATTTTTCACACACAAACAAATACTAACGCTAACTTTGGCCAGTGTTTGTGACCAAATGGCTACTAAAAAAGACTGGACATACCCCATTTGCAATACCTTGGGTTGTCTACTATTGCAAATGGTATGCCATTATGGGTGTAAATTTCATTCCGGGCTACTATACAGTCTCAAAGGCAACATAACCAATCTGGCGAATTTCAATTTCAAATGTAACGTGCTATATTTGACCCTGTAACTTCCCAAAACGCCATAAAACCTGTACATAGGGGGTACTGTTTTACACATGAGACTTTGCTGAATACAAATATGTGTATTTTATTGCAGTAAAAGCAAACAGTATTATGACATTGACAGTTAAAATGTCATGTAGAACTAAAAAAATAAAACAAAATCGTATTTTCTCCCATTTTTTTCATATTAAATTATGTTTCATAGCTAAATATTTGATATTAAATGAAAGCCCTGTTTCCCCTGAATAAAATGATATATAATAAAGGTGGGTGCATTTACTATGAAAGAGGTGAATTATGGTTGGACAGACATGTAGCGCAAATGCTAGGTTTTGTTTACATTTTGTTTCGTTCACAACGTGTACATTTGGCTCCGTCCTTAAGGGGTTAAGGGTATACGTTGCTTTTGTATTCTTTACGCCGAAGTGCATAACTTTGCATTTTTCAACATTAAATTTCATCTGCCATTTGAGTGCCCAGTCCCCCAGTCTATCTAAATCCCTCTGCAGCAAAGTAATATCTTGCTCACATTGTATTATTTTACAAAGATTTGTTATTGTCTGCCATTTCAGCGGCTCATGTCCCCATTCAAGGGACTCCCATTGGCTAGGATCCATAATGGATGGTTTGTAGACTTCCCTCTGGGATGTGCAGAGGGTTTTGGACTTCATCCAGGACTGGCCAGAAAATCGAGACCTCTCACTACGACAGTTACAGGCCAAGTTTGCACTACTCTTGTGCCTCGTCTAGTTGGGTCTCCGACGTCCGGGCATTTGACATCGATGCGTTCAATTTTTCCCCGGAAGGGGTGACTTTTTCGGTGTCTATACATACCAAGTCCAACTCAACTGCTATTTTCTGCTATGCTACCCATATTTCCAAAAGGCTCCTAAACTCTGCATGGTGGCTGCACTATCCCGCTATGTGGCGGTTACTACTCCTCAACTGTTGGTATCTTATTCACGTCCACATAAACCGGTCTCTTCCACTACCTTAGCACGTTGGATCAGATGGTTACTGTCATTAGCCGGTGTGGACTCTTCTTTCGGTGCTCACTCGGTTAGGGGCACAGCGGCATCAGGCGCCCTGGTGGCTGGCGCTTCCCTTCCTGATATTCTACGTTCAGCTGACTGGTCTCGAGAAGACACCTTTTGACAGTTTTATTTCAGACCTAGAGAACATGCGTCGTTTGCTTTATTGGCTGAGCGTTGAAACCGCAAATATGAAACCTCCTGTCATGTTATAAAATTGTAGATTATACTAGCTCTAGTGTACCTATAATTTTAATTTTATTAATGACAGGAGGTGAATATTTCCCACCCATTTTCTCCCCGACCCTTGTTTGCATATGTTATCTAGAGATATTTGGGTATACTAGGTAGGTATACTATTCTTCGAATGCTTCTTATTTACCTTATCACCACACTGTCTTTTCTTACAGCCTAGGGTGGGAATCTTTATATATGGTGGTGTTGACTGATATTGCACTGGGTGGCTGCATGTTTTTTTTATACGTACATTTCATTGGCTAATCACCTTTTTCAATTCTGCTTCTCTCTGGTACCACACTTAAATTTACATCTCGGGTGAAGAATATTGTTGGGATTCGTTATTTCCTTCAGAGATGGACCGTTAATTTGTTCCATTGTTTTCTGACTGGGTTATGTTAAGTCGTAGCTTGAAAGACGGGAAGGGAGTTTTATGGTTTCATTTCTCTGTGTTTTCTCTGCTGCTGTGGAGTTCTAGTAAAGAGAGACTTAAGCAAGTATTCGCCTCCGGTCATTAATAAAATTAAGATTATAGGTACACTAAAGCTAATATAATCTACAATTTGAGATGTTTGGGCTAGCCATTTTAACAGAAATGCAGGGCCCATGTAGAGATTTCTACTTTTATTTTTGTCTTTTTACACACGAGTTGCATTTTCACAGGAAATGACATAATCCTGATCTTAGTTATTGCAAAAGAGCCTCTGTATTTTGATTACACATTGTTTCATGAATATAATAGTACCCCCACGTACCATTATTTCAGATGTTTTTCGATAAGTCACAGGTCGAAATATATTAGATGCCCATTCAGCTTGTAAGTTTGACAAAGTGATTTTCTGGGCCTATGTGGCTTCTCAGAGAGTATGGCAGCTTGGGTAATAACATTTCCACCGTTATGGCATACCACTTTCAAGAGTAGGCGACCCAGAGTATTCCAATTGGCATAATCTGAGATGTTTGGTCTAGTCATTTTAACAGAAATGCAGGGCCCATGTAGAGATTTTTATTTTTGTCTTTTTACATACACGAATTGTATTTTCACAGGAAATGTTATAATCCTGATATTAGTTAGTGCAATAAAACCTCAATATTTTAACACTGTCTTCTGAATATAACAGTACCCACATGTACCATTTTTTCAGGTTTTTATTATATCACAGGAATAGAACAGTACCCCCACATACTTTGATTTGGAGGCAGAGAGACACAGAGAGATCTTTGATCTCACACAGAGTTACGATGTGAAAAGTTTGAAAAGTTCAAAAAAAATTTCAGTGAAAATCACAGCATTAACCATGTGATTAAAGTTTCTTATTTGGGGAGAGTCACATTGCAAGTACTACAAATGTAGTACTTTGAGTTGTTTGGTGTAGCCACTTTAGAATGGCTAGTGTAAACAGGGACAGGCCAACAGGGGAATCCAGAAGTCAGAGTAGTTGGTAAAAGAAGCCAATAGGTCGGTACAGGCAGCTAACAAAGCGTAGTCAGGACAAGCCGAGGTCAGAAATCCAGGGAAATAAAGCAAACTGCCAAAGTAGCATAACCTCAGGGAAAAGAGGGATAGCCAGGATGCGTTGCTTGCTCCAGTAGGACCTGATATTGGGCTTTTTAACTATACCCATCACTAGGGTTAAAGCCCAAAATTGCTTCATCTCTGCAACATCCGTGGGTCGCCACATATTCCTGCAACTATAATGGGACCCCAGATGTACAGAGAGATACTGCATGGCAAATTAATTTGTTTGCTGAGCCATGAGCTCAATTACGTTGTCCGACATAAAGAGCAACAAATTGACTCGCAATCGTACACTGTTACAGTGATGCCAGGTGTAACAGTGAATGGCAGTATTTCTGGGGCTATCGTGTTTGAGGGGAACCCAGTCTCCATCTGGCATTGGGCATTCTGAGCGTCCTCTTGTGGGTGGTGGTTGGGCACCATCACTTGAGGTTTCACTCAGGAGCTCAATGTCAGAGGCAGTGTTAGTGTCACTATCACTGCCTGCCAGAATGACATACTCCTCCTCTGCTGAGTAGCGACGTGCCATTCTAGGGGGACAATTAACTAATAAAAAAACTAAGGGGGTAATTACCTATTATCTACTGTCACAGCTCCCGGCTCGCCACTTGGCGCGTTCGTGCCCGACTGGCACGACCGCGCCAACAAGCTGAGCTTACCTGCTCGGCAGCGAGCCGGGAACAGATCCTCCGGATCTTCTGGGCAGTTTGCCCAAAACAAAGATGGTGCTGACCATGTGGTTGCGGCCGTTAATGGCTCCGCCCCCCAGGGTTATACGAACGTGCGTGTGACGTCACGACGCCAACGCACACGCATGTTCTGGGGTCAGAGGTCACCTTCTGACCAATTAGAGTCTAGAGAGGGATATATAAATCCCTGAAGCATCCCAGTATCTTGCCGTGGTTTCCTGTCCTGGTACCCACGAGTGCGTTTATCTTTGCTTTATTTGTGATTTTCCGTATTTTGACCTTGGCTATCCCTGACTACTCTGGTTTCTGGTTCATCTGACTTGGCTTGTTTAACGGTATTTGTGTATTTCTGGTTTCCTTGACCTCGACTATCCCTTGACCATTCTCTGTCTCTAACGTATTAGTCCGGTCATTCTATCCCTTTTGTTTCTTTCTATTTTCTATGTAGATGTTACATAGTTCTGCGTGCTGGACCACACTAGCAGTCGTGACATTACGACAGGGCCATGGATCCTGCAGAACTATATAAGCATATGATAGCCTGTGAAGGCAGGGTGGAGGATATGGACCACAAGTTAGATCAATTTGCCCAAGCATTCCAGACCTTGCTTCAGAGAACGGCTTATCATGAAGCACCTCCAGTACAACCGGTAGCTCCGCCACCTGTTCCTGCACCTGTGGCATACAAACCTCCATCTTTCTCCTCCCCCTCGTTTTGGATGTGATTCCAAGGAGTTCAGAGGTTTCCTGAACCAAATTGAATATCAATTCAAGGCTTCCCCTGGCTCCTTCCCAACATATAAGTCAAAGATTGGCTATCTTATGAACCAGCTAACGGGTAAGGCCTTATGGGAAAGTGATAATTCCATTGCCCGTAATTATAGTGAATTCTTAACAGCATTTAAAGCTACGTTTGAGCCTATGGGAAGAGAGAAAAACACAGCTAAAGCCCTAATGAGAACAAAGCAAGGCAGTTGTTCTGTAGCTGACTCAGGACGTTAGCCTCTGAGGTGGACTGGACTAACAGTGGTCTGGTGGCTGCTTTTTCTGAGGGTTTGGCTGAGAATATACAGGATGAGACCGCTGCTAGAGACCTTCCAGTCAATCTTAATGATTATATAACCTACATGATTGACATTGACAATAGACTCAGGGAGAGAGAGAGGAACAAACAACGTACAAGACGTACCAACTTATCTATAGCCCCTCGCTTTTCCAACCCAGTGGTAGTTAACCCTGTTCCACTTCCAGAGGCTGAGCCCATGCAATTGGGCATTACCAAGCTCACTGAGGCAGAGAGACAGCATAGACAAAATGAGGGGGTGTGTTTTTATTGTGGGAAGGCTCTCATGTCCGGCTCGGCTGGAAAACATGCGCACATCAGGCACGTTCGGGGACAGACCTTCGGTGTGATGTATTTGTCCCCCAAATTGACTAATAACCATTTCCTTGTAAAAGTTACTCTGCATTGTAGGAGAACTACTATTCAGTGTGAGGCCATGATCAACTATGGAGAGGCAGAGACAGAGAATTCTCTGCTAAACTTCTCCTGCCATTGAGGCAGAAAGATAGACCCATTGCAGTTAAGGCCATTGATGGGAGACCTCTTACCCAATCTCTCATCACTCAGGAAACTTTACCTATCACTGTCTCAGTAGGCATCTTACATTCTGAGGAATTGGTTTTCCAGATTATTTCTTCCCCTTCCTGCCCTGTGATACTTCCCTTGGCTCCAGAAACACAATCCACGTCTAGACTGGATTAAAGGAGAAATTGGGGGTTGGGGAGAGAATTGCAAAAGTCATTGTGAACACCATATGCCACAACGTGTTGGTACCATCAATGTACCTACTGCACCTCCCTTAACCACAGAGATCCCACCGCAGTATTTAGAGTTAAAGGAAGTTTTTAATAAGGTTCAGTCAGCGGTATTACCACCGCATAGACCCTATGACTGTGCCATAAATTTGCTACCAGGCACTCTGCCTCCAAAAGGGGGAGTTATGCGCTGTCTCCTCAAAAAACTCTCTGCTTGGAGGAGTATATAAAAGATGCTCTAAGAATGGGCCACATACAGAGATCCTCTTCACCTGCTGGGGCTGGGTTCTTCGTCTCTAAAAAAGGAGACCTATGCCCTTGCATCGATTATAGGGGTCTAAATAAAATAATGATTAAGAACGCCTACCCAATCCCCTTTATTTCTGAACTATTTGACAGGTTAAAAGGTGCCAGAGTATTCACCAAACTCGACCTAAGGAGTGCATATAACCTAGTCAGACAGGCTAGATGGTCACTATACCTGTCAGGGATCCGCGGGCGGCTAGGAGGGGAGGCTGCACGCCACTTGCAGCACTCACCCTCAGTCCATCGCCGCCCGCGGTCTCCCCTCTGCTTACCTGTCGGCGAGCGGCGTCTCCTCTCTGCCGCTCGCCGCCCGCGTCCTCCACGCCCCCCAGCGGCAGCATGTATAACGCTGCACGCTGGGAGGTCATGAATTATGTAAACACCGGGGTCACGTGAGTGACCCGGCGTTAAAGAAACAGTACCACAATCACAGTGGGAGGTATAGATATCCCCCACGTGTGATTGTTAATTCTGATTGGAAGTTATCCAATCAGAATTAAACCAAGGGTATTTATACTTACCTTTCCTGTCCCTCAGTGCCCTGTTGTGGTCTTGTGATACCTGTAGCGTAGTGTTCTCGTCTTGCTCTCTGGTTACCGATTATTTGGCTCGTTATTCCGATTATCCTGTCTTCTCCACTCCTTTGACCTCGGCTTGTTTCTCGTTCTCCCGTTTTCTGGCTCCCTTTACTTGGCTTGTCTCCTGACTATTCTTAGCGTGCTTAGCCCGGCCACTCTAAGGTCCGGTACGGCACCTTTTCTGTGTGTGTGTGTGTGTGCCAGCGTGTTGGGTTCCCCGAATCGTGACATTACAACAGGGCCACCATGGAACCTGCTGACATTCCACAGCTGTTAGTAAATCAGGAGGCTAGAATAGACGGTTTAGACCACCGTATGGATCAGTTTGCCCAGGCTTTACAAACCATACTGGCTCGTACTGCCCACTTGCAACCTGCCGTCCAAGAAGCTGTTGCTGCTGTGCCAGAACCCATTCCTGATCCAGTACCCGCTCCTGCTCACGTGGTTCACATGACGCCATCTCAGTGCTATAGCGGTGATCCAGCATTGTGCCGTGGTTTCCTCAACCAAATTGATATTCATTTGGTGATGAATCCTCGTTCCTACCCCACTGACAGAACCAAAATTGCTTTTTTGATTAACCATTTGTCCGGGAAAGCACTAGCATGGGCTAATCCCATGTGGGAGAATACGTCCCCAATGTCCTTTTCAGACTTCTTAACAGCTTTTAAACGTACGTTTGACCAACCCGGCCAGGTTGCTTCTGCTGGCATTGAATTCCGCACTCTGGTAGGTGAAGTGGTCTGGAATAACGACGCTCTCGTAACAGCTTTTCAGGAGGGTTTGGCCGCTTACATATTAGATGAAATAGCATCCAAGGAAATGCCTGTTCTTCTGGATGATCTTATAGATTATGTCATTCTAATTGACAACCGTATTAGAGAGAGGCGTAGTCAAAGAAGGATGAATACACAGGAGTTACCTGCTTTACCCAGTAATGCATTGCTAGCATTACCTCCTCCTAATTAACCACCTCCCGAACCCATGCAATTCGGTGCTGTAGGTTTATCTGAAGCCGAAAGAACGTGTGTTATGGTTTTTTCCCCTCATATGTCCATCTCCAGACCATTTATAACGGTTTCTCTTTTGGTCAATAAAACCACGATAACAACTAAAGCCTTGATCGATTCAGGTACTGCAGACAGCTTTATGGATGAGAACTTTTCTAAAACCGCAGCCTTGAATCTGATCCAAAAGGCAACACCCTTGGCCATTGAGGCCATAGATGGTAGACCACTTGATAAACCTCTGGTGACCCATGAAACCCAAGAAATGGTTATGGTCGTGGGTGCCTTACACAAAGAAAGGATAGCCTTCCAAATAATTGACTCCCCTACAGCTTCCATCATTCTGGGTTTTCCTTGGTTAGTTAAGCATAACCCGGTACTCGATTGGGATTCTCTAGATATACTCTCCTGGGGGGTATCTTGTCAACAAGACTGTATGGCCCATTTACATCCCGTTTGTTTACTTAATGTGCCTACAGCTAAACCACTTTCTGTTTCTGTCCCTCCTGTGTATGCAGACCTGATAAACTACCCCCACGCCGGGATTATGATTGTGCCATAAATTTGTTACCTGGAACGATGCCTCCTAGGGGTAAGGTCTACCCGCTTTCTGAGAAAGAAAACCAGGTCATGGAGGAGTACATACAGGAATCCTTACGTAAAGGTTTTATCAGAAAGTCCTCCTCTCCGGCTGGTGCTGGTTTCTTTTTTGTTGCCAAGAAGGAGGGCGATTTGAGACCATGTATAGACTATAGGGGCCTGAATAATATAACAATTAAAAATGCTTATCCTATCCCTCTCATTACTGAGTTGTTTGACCGTGTTAAAGGTTCTAGATATTTTACTAAACTAGACCTCAGGGGGGCTTACAACTTGGTTCGGATAAAAGAAAATGATGATTGGAAGACAGCGTTCAATACATGCAGTGGGCATTACGAGTATCTAGTCATGCCTTTTGGACTGTGTAATGCTCCTGCTGTCGTTCAGGACCTCATAAATGATGTCCTTAGAGATCTACTGCATGTCTGTGCTGTGGTTTATCTCAATGATATACTCATATTCTCTCCTGATTTGGAGTCACATCATGCCCATGTGAGGAAGGTACTTAAGAGATTGCTACAGAACGGTCTTTATTGTAAATTGGAGAAATGTTTATTTGACAGGAAATCAGTACAATTCCTAGGGTACGTCATTTCTGAACAGGGGTTCAGTATGGATCCTTCTAAATTAGAAGCCATATTGTCTTGGCCTCTCCCTCAAGGCCTTAAGGCAATACAGCGATTTAGAGGCTTTGCCAATTATTATCGCAGGTTTATTAAAAACTTTTCATCGGTCATTTCTCCTATCACGAAACTAACTAAAAAGGGTTTGCACCCCAGGGTTTGGACTCCTGAAGCCATCAAAGCCTTCGAAACTCTCAAAAAGGCATTTGCCACTGCCCCTGTGCTACACCATCCTGATCCTTCCCTTCCCTTTATAATGGAAGTAGACGCTTCAGAATCAGGTATAGGAGCTGTATTATCACAAAGATTATCCTATAACGAACCCCTCCATCCCTGTTGTTACTTTTCTAAAAAACTGTCTGATTCGGAAAAGAATTACGACGTCGGGAATAGGGAACTATTAGCTATTGTGAAGCATTTAAAGAGTGGAGGTACTTATTAGAAGGAGCTAGACACAAAATCCTGGTTATAACTGATCATAAGAATCTCTCCTATATAGCTGATGCTAAAAGGTTGTCCTCTCGTCAAGCCAGATGGTCCTTATTTCTTTCACACTTTCAGTTCATTATCACATATAGGCCTGGGTACCGTAATGTCAAGGCTGATACTATCTCCCGACAATACGAAACTTTGGAGTCTATCGCCCCCACTCCTGAACCCACTGTACTCACGTCTAAGATAATAGCTGCTACCCGTTTAGTTATTTCGTCTCTTTTCCTTGATGGTATCAAGGCATACCAAACCCAAGCACCCTCTGAGACACCTGTTGGTAGATTATACGTGAAAGAGAAAGATAGAAATAAATTATTAGCTTTATTTCACACCGCCAAAACGGCTGGCCACCCAGGGGTCACCAAAACATACAAGGGTCTCCTTCAACAGTTTTGGTGGCCTTCACTTAAGCAAGACGTGGTGGATTATGTGCAGGCTTGTCGTGTTTGTGCACAGTGTAAGTCCCCTAATGTCAAACCCCCAGGACTCCTAATGCCTTTATCCGTACCCAAGAAACCATGGACCCACTTATCCATGGACTTTATTGTGGATCTTCCTTCATCCGATGGAATGACAGTAATTTTGACTGTGACTGATAGATTTTCTAAAATGGCACACTTTATTCCACTTCAGAAAATACCTTCTGCGGTTCAGTTGGCTCAGGTATTTGCCAAAGAGGTTTTCCGCTTGCATGGTATACCACAGGATATTGTATCTGACAGGGGTCCTCAATTTGTCTCTCGGTTTTGGAGGGGCTTTTGTGCTGAGATGGGGATTTCCTTGTTGTTTACTTCCTCCTATCATCCACAATCTAATGGAGCGGCCGAACGGGCGAATCAATCTGTGGAGTTATATTTACGTTGCTTCACGAATGCACACCAGGACAACTGGTCTCACCTCCTTCCTTGGGCTGAATTCGCCAGGAACACTGTGACTCATTCGTCCACTGGCTTAAGTCCTTTTATGGTTGCTTATGGGTTCCAACCATCTGTCCTTCCTGGCGTGTTCTCCGACAAGGGAATACCGGCTTTGGACGAGCACCTCACCTCCTTACGGAAGATGTGGGATCAGGCCCATGCTACTCTTTCTCGTGCGACTGCTACTCAGAAGAGATTGGCTGATCGTCGTAGGAGTGCTGCTCCCTCTTATGTCCCGGGTGATAGGGTTTGGTTGTCCTCTAAGAATCTCCGCCTCAGGGTCCCCTCAATGAAATTCGCGCCCAGGTTCCTTGGCCCCTATAAGGTATTGCGTAGGGTCAATCCTGTGTCCTACTCCCTGGCCTTGCCTCCTTCCATGCGTATACCTAACACTTTCCACACCTCCCTTTTGAAGCCCCTGCTCTGTAATCGATTCTCTGGTCCTCTCAGGCGTCCAGATTCCCTCCGCGCTGTCTCTAATGACGTGTACGAAGTGGCTGCTCTGCTTGATTCTCGTTTTTCTCGGGGTCGGTTGCAGTATCTGGTTGATTGGAAGGGTTACGGCCCTGAGGAGCGGTCCTGGGTTTCTGCCTCTGACTTAAATGCGCCCTCTTTGATCCGCTCCTTTCATGCGCGGTTCCCTTCGAAGCCTTCGGGCCTCGAGAGGGGGGTTATGTCAGGGATCCCCTCTGCTTACCTGTCGGCGAGCGGCGTCTCCTCTCTGCCGCTCGACGCCCACGTCCTCCACGCCCCCCAGCGGCAGCATGTATAACGCTGCACGCTGGGAGGTCAATGAATTATGTAAACACCGGGGTCACTTGAGTGACCCGGCGTTAAAGAAACAGTACCACAATCACAGTGGGAGGTATAGATATCCCCCACGTGTGATTGTTAATTCTGATTGGAAGTTATCCAATCAGAATTAAACCAAGGGTATTTATACTTACCTTTCCTGTCCCTCAGTGCCCTGTTGTGGTCTTGTGTTACCTGTAGCGTAGTGTTCTCGTCTTGCTCTCTGGTTACTGATTATTTGGCTCGTTATTCCGATTATCCTGTCTTCTCCACTCCTTTGACCTCGGCTTGTTTCTCGTTCTCCCGATTTCTGGCTCCCTTTACTTGGCTTGTCTCCTGACTATTCTTAGCGTGCTTAGCCCGGCCACTCTAAGGTCCGGTACGGCACCTTTTCTGTGTGTGTGTGTGTGTGCCAGCGTGTTGGGTTCCCCGAATCGTGACAATACCTCTCTCGTTTCAATTTTGTCATTACGTACAGACCTGGTACCAAGAACACAAAGGCAGATGCGCTGTCTAGACAATTTGAGACAGATGAGGTTCCTGAACAAGAGATGTTCCCGATTGTACCTCCGAGTGTCTTGTTGCTACAACGGTTTCCGAAGTGTCTTCTCCACTCTTATGTGCCATAATAGCGGATCAAACTCAGGCACCTGTGGAAAGACCACCGGACAAACTGTTCGTTGCACCATTACTAAGGACAAAGGTGCTTGGGTTATTCCATGATAATTTAAAAGCCGGACATACATAAAACCCACTCTGCCATTTCAAGGAAATTCTGGTGGCCGTCGCTTAGGGGTGATGTCAAACATTATGTGGGTTATTGCAGCCACTTCCAATACCAGACACTCCATGGACCCATCTAGCAAAGACTTCATTGTGGATCTTCCCAATTCTAATGGGTATAACACTATCCTCATGGTTGTGGACAGATTCTCCAAGATGGCGCATTTTATACCCCTTAAAAAATTGCCATCTTCTAAAGATCTTGTCCAAATATTCTTGAGAGAAATCTTTTGGTTATATGGGGTACCGAAAAATATCATTTCCAACAGAGGCACCCAGCTTATTTCTAGGTTCTGGCGTGCTTTCTGTAGGCAGTTGGGCATAGAACTTTCTTTTTCCTCTTCGTACCACCCTCAGACCAATGGTGTGGCGGAGAGGGCCAATCAGGCCTTAGAATCCTATTTACGTTGTTTTGTTGATGTCAATCAGTTAAGGGAGATTTGGGTTGCTGCAACTGACACAAAGGATCAAAACAAATTTTAAAGTTTTTTTTTTTAACCTCCCCAAAAATAATATAGTACAAGAGTACTAAAAGCCCTAATCAGGCTGATCACAGTATTAATGCTTTGATCAGCACTGAAAAGGGTAAAAAAACAACAACTTTTTTAACTTTGAAAAAAGTTGTAAAACTTTTTTTCCAAAGGAGCTGCTATAACCAACGATCTCTATGCCTCTCTCAGAGCAAAGGAGAGGGGCAGAGACAAAGTGTCAGCCAGTGATTTTAAATCATTGGCTGACACATTGTAACAGTGATCAGTGACTGGCTGTCACTGTGATCACATGCTTCAGATTGCGGTCATTGGCCACATGGGAGGCTGCCTAGGTTGCCAGGCATGCCCACAGACCGCGATCTACAAATGGGGGGGCGCACAGGGTGGCAAGTCTACACAGTGAGAATGGCAGCGGGCACGTGTCAGCCACAGTAACACTGTTGCAGATCGTGGTCATTTGCCTAACAGGACCCCTGACTGCGATCTTCAAAGGGGGAATGGCGGCGGTCACGTAGGCAGCAAGAACAGTGAGGACGTTCTATGCCGCCCATCAGTGTTTAGAGCCAGCCCCTTAAGGACGGCATAGAATGCTTGATAGTAACAGTGTTATATCTGATTCAGTAACCCATTAGAGTGTGTGCAGCGGGCTCTGCCCCGATTTCATCACTGAATTCTCCAGCTTTCCCTCCCTTCTCGAGTCCTAAAGCTGCCGCCTCCTCCTGCCCACACAATCTCCAGTCCTGCTCCCCCCTCTTCCCCCCTCTTCTTCTTGCATAGCTACGCCCCTGCCAGGATAACTCCGCCCCTTCACCTTCCACCTCACCCATTACAATTAAGCCTAGACTATACAATGCATACAGCTCCCCTGCTTCTCTCTGCCTCCTCCTCCCAAATAAAACCCCACCTTCCCCTGCACATTCTGCCATTCCATCCAGCTCTCTAACTACCCTAATTACTGCACAATCTACTGAGTACAGTGCTGTACATTAATACAGTGAGTACAGTGCTGTACATAACAGCATTAATACAGCATTTGTTTGCTGGTAACAGGTGGGAGGTACTGAACGTCAAGGAAAGTTTAGAAAGAGACTGTATTGCAAAAGGGGCTCGGGGCCTGGGCTACATTCAGTTAGATGGGTTTTACATCTAACTGAATGTAAGCATATTTTTTATTGTATAATAAAGATTCAAGCTAATTTCACACGTCAAAATTGTTATGATTGTATGTTGGACACTGTCCTAAGCAATTCACACTCCTGGGGAACACTCCATGTAAGCAATTCACACCCCTGCGGAACACTCCATTCACCATTCATCACAACAGTGATTCCAAGTAAGCATAACTTATACCCTTATCTTGATTTCACATGTGTGTTTTTTATGTTCTGAGCATATTTAGCTTACAATGCAAGTTGAAGATTCTATACTATTTGAGCCAGCCCTTTTCATCTGCTTGACAACTATTGGGATTTTGTACATTTATGAAAAAAATACCAATTTAGAATTAGGAGTAATTGGTTTTGAAAAGATATGTGTTTTATGCAATTGATTTATTCCATTGAATATTGATTATTGTATACTTTCTATTCTTTATTGCTGTGACATACTTTAGCTCAGTTATTTAGTTATATTTCTCTTGTAGCCTAGAGAAATATAAATACTTCAGGCAAGAAATTAAAAATAAATCAATAATGACAGCATTAAGCCTAAAAAAACAATAGACCAAGCACTCTGGTGTCCTTCAATATAAGTACTCAAACCATTTGCTAACTTACCATTAGGCCATTGGGAATCCATCACTTTTTCCATTGAGAGCCAGAACCTCCTGCACAGAGCTTCATGTACTTCTCTAGGGCCCGCTCAAAGCAGAGAGCTTACAGCTCTCAATCAAGAAGTGACTGGCGCCCGGTGGACCCAAAGTAGGCTGTTTTCAACAGTTTAAGAATTTACACTGGGGTGGTACCATGACACTTCTGGTGCTTTGAGTGTTTCTTTATAGTGGCTCGTCACCCTATAATTATCTTACTTTAATCTGTTTATTTTCAATCTATTACTCAATCTATACTAAAATACATAAAGAAAAGTCCCCCAGTTGTCACTATCATCACGCAACAATATTAATGGAGTCTCCTACACCTCATGTGATCCTCCATAGACCTCGATGCTGTAGTCTCACGCATGCTCAAGAATACAGCACTAATGGTAGATGAAGAGCTGAAGAGGACAAGCAGGAAGACCAGTAGCAGGTTTTGTTTTTTGAAGAGTATAGTGTACTGTATTGAGATTTTTTTAACAAAATACAGACCAGGTGTGATTCCTGCCCACATTCTATGCGCCTGGTCCCAAGAGCCCCTAAAAAGAGCTATTGTTACAATGGGGAGGGGTATCGGGATCAAGACCAAGTCCAGTTGGAAAAAAACAGTAATGGACCTCTGAGGTTTGCCTGGATCTGGGTATCACCCAGTCAGGCATCGAGTGCCTGACTGGAAGATACTGTGAAACTCTTTCTCAAGACTGTGCCGAGGTCCAGCTTTAAGCAAGTACTGCTCGGTCTCCCGACCTCCAAACCGAGCACTATTTGGTGGGGATGTATCAGAGGATACCTGGGACTTGAGAGCACTCCCCTGCCCAAAGGCCCAAGACCCCCTTTTTAGAACTTGGACTAAGTCGCATTGAATTGCTTAGGACTTGCCGCCAGATTGGAGATTAGTTGTGACCCTGTAAAAGTTTAGCACGCTGTAACTTGGGTATTGAGTCTCTGATCGGTTAGCTATTTTGGCTGAGAGCATGCTCAGTGAAGAGTTTTACCAGGGATATATATTGGGTAAGTACAAGGGAAAAGGGTTTCTGGCGGACAGTTTGTATGCTATGTCTTTGGGGGCACAGCAGGGAGTGGATTGTGTTAACTGGGGACAATGTAATAAAGCTCCCAGACAGAGTGGCACTGGGGAGGGATTATTGTACTGTTCATTGCTTTGTTTGGAGGACACCCTGCAGGCAGGGCCGGCCTTAGGTGATCAGACGCCCTGTGCGAGCCCAACATATGGCGCCCCCCCCCTTCAGCAAAACCTCTGCCCCTTCTACAATAGCCCTGTTCCGCCTTCTACAAAACCCTTCCACAAACCCCAGCCCCCCTTTCTACAAAAACCCTGCCCCCCTTTTTACAAAACCCCTGCCCCCTCTACAAAACCCCTGCTCCCCCTTTAATAAAACCCCTGCCCACCCTTCTATAATTTTTTTTCTCCCCCTTTAACAAAACACATGCTATCATTATATATATCAACTATACAGCAATGTTCACATAATATCACTAAAAACCTTCCCCCTCCACCAAAACCACTGCCACCCTCTACAAAAGTCCTGCACTCATTCTACATAAACCTCTGCTCCCCTTCTACAAAACCCATGCTCCCCTTATACTAAGCCCCTGCTCCCCTTCAACTAAACCCCTGCTCCCTTATACTAAACCCCTGCCCCCCTTATACTAAACCCCTGCTCCCCTTATACTAAACCCCTGCCCCCTTATACTAAGCCCCTGCTCCCCTTATACTAAACTCCTGCCCCCCTTATACTAAAGTCCTGCCCTGTTATACTAAACCCCTGCCCCCCTTATATTAAAGTCCTGCCTCCCCTTATACTAAACCCCTGCTCCCCTTATACTAAACCCCTGCCCCCTTATACTAAACTCCTGCCCCCTTATACTAAACCCCTGCCCCCTTCTACTAAACCCCTGCTCCCCCCTAAACCCCTGCTCCCCTTATACTAAACTCCTGCCCCCTTTACAAACCCCCTGGTCCCCCTTCAACAAAACCCATGCCCCCTCCACAAAATCCTTTCCCCTGCCACTTCACCAGAAATGCCTGCCCCCTCTTCTACAAAACCTCTCCTCTACACCAAAACCCCTACCCCCTTTTTTACAAAACCTCTAACCCCTTCTATAAAACCTCTGCTCCTCCCTAAACCAACCCCCTTCTACAAAACCCCTTCCCCAAAATCCCAGCGAGAAAACCTCTGCTCCCCCTTCTGCAAACCCCCACACACACACACACAAAAACAACAATCTATTTAATTTAAAAAAAAAAAAAAAGCAATAGTTACAACAAGAATAAACAGACTCACATTAAAGCTTGCTGCTCCCTGGAACCTCCTGACAGTGTCCCAGTCTGCCGACCTTGATACCAGCACTGACCTCCTCCCTCACACTCACTGTGCGGATCCTTCCGCGGATGACTGTGGAGGCGGAGCATGCTCTTCCTCCGTGCTCCTGACCTCCTCTCTCTCCCGGCCGCTGCTCTCTTCATAATTTGCAAGTCAAGTGCGCAGCATAATGCACTTGACTTGCTCTGCACATGACTCGGGCCGGCATGTGAGTGACTGAGTGCGAGCTGTGCTGGCCGCCCGGCGCCCCTGTTGCCATGGCGCCCTGTGCGGCCGCACAGCTCGCACACCCCTAAGGCCGGCCCTGCCTGCAGGGAGAGTCAAATGTGTAGGAGAAAAGCTATAGTCTCTACTATACAGGAGAGAAAGTCTTCTGATCTATATTCACCACAGCCTAATTCAGTGGAAGAGGTCCTCAGAGACCCCAGTCAAGCTTCTGCAACTTGGCCTGAAGTGCTCCAGTCACTAGTAGCAGCAAGGAAACTGGCAGAGGTACTCAGAGAATGGGAGCTCTAACACTGGGACCCCTGCACATCATCTGGAACTGATGGAAACGAATAGAGCAGAGGTAGTGCAACAGAGAGGTGGATCTTCCAAGCAGTGGCAGAGACCTAGGTGCCAGACCGTAGAGTTTCAGTGGGTATTGTTACTGTGGAAAGGGTTATGGGGGCCCTGGACGCTTACTGTGCTCTCCAGTCAGACATGAGGACCTCTGGACATGGCTGGTCTTTTTTTTTACATATTGTGCTTCTGACCAGGAGATACTCTGGAACTGTTCCTCGGACTGAGACTATGTCGAGGTTCGGCAAAACTTTAAAGGGACACTATAGTCACCTGAACAACTTCAGATTGATGAGGTTCTTCAGGTGAGAACAATAGATCCCTGCAGGCTTTTTCATATAACAGTGTTTACCTTAGAACCTAGGAACACCTCCAGTGGCAGTCACTTAAGAGGCCACCAGAGGGACTTCCTAGTTAAGTCCTGCCTGATGCGCAGTTCTCACATTTGACGTCTTCATTTAGCTGAAGACATCAAAAATAGTATCAGGACACTGCAGGCACTGTAAACGCGCCTGTAGTAACCCCGGAGGCTGTCAGCAGTCAGAGCAGTCAGTGTGGATGATAAGATCTCCTGCACACACATCGTCGGCTCTGTCTGACAAGCAGCTGAAGGCAGGAGACCGAGCAGGAGGATCCAGAGATCTACTAGACTTCAAACAGTAAGTAAACTAAGTGAGTGAAAGTCAGATAGATATAGATAGATACAGATAGTTATAGTGTGTGTGTGTGTGTGTGTATGTACATGTGATGAACTGAACCTCATCACAGGTTCTTTGAGGGGCCTGCTGGTCAGCCTCTTGCCTCAGGACTATGGGCCCTGCAATATACCTTGCCCAATGCACTTGAAAAGGCTCTGTACATGTGAGTTATGTATTTTTGTACTCCAGACAGAGAGAACAACCATTAGCCCTAATTCCCTGGAACTGTTTTGGGCATAGGACCATGTGCACGGTCGTTCAAAAATAAGACTTCCAGGAAATTCCTGTACTCCTGAACTGATCTGGGTGATTTGGATATGTTGGTCAGGGCTATCAGGGGATGTAACATTTGTGGCGTTTTAAGTATTTTTAGGGTACTTTTGGGGGTGTTTTAAAAAAGTATGTTTTTTCTGTGCTTGAAGATAATTGGATTAGAATTAGTACAGTTACTGATCCAATTATTTCCCAGGCAGAGGGGAGGGATTGTGTGCTATGTGTGGGAGTGTCATGCCTTGTAACCTTATTGTTATTGGTCTATGAAGTTGCAAATCAGTCTACCATCATGTCCATGTGGGCGTACCCCTTGCATGGGGATTATCATACAAGGCCAAGTGTGGCTCCCATTAAACAGAGATTCGTTTACCCCTTCATGAAGTCTTGGCTCATGTTTGGGGAATTGGAGAATTACATTCACTCTGGGAATTGCTATATCACAATACTCCCCTGAGTATAATCACTAGCTCGTATAAGAGCTGTTCCTGCTTCGCTCTCTGGACTAGGAGAGGTCTACCTACTGGAAGCTGGATCCTGGTCTTGGGTCCAGGGTGGGTGGAGGACGGCGAGACGCCAACCAAGCTGCGGCGGTTTGTGGGGTTTACGGTGTCCAAGTGCAGTGCTTATGGTGCTCGCAAGTACTAGGAAGCAGCAATTGATGGAGGTACTCGATCGGGGTGCAGGCGGTCCATCACAGTACACTACTTACAATTTGTGTGTTTGTATACAAACACTATATATAGAGATATCTCTATATATAGTGTTTGTATACAGACACAAACTTTGGGCTGAGGAGAGTTGCAGGAGGAGGGGGGCGGCCATAAACAGAGAGCTGAGCTGTGAGTCAGGTCGCAACCGTACACGAGTGGTAGAGCGCTCAGTGTTCATTCATAGAGAAGCATTCAATGCCGCTCTATGAAGAACATAGACTTGGTCCTGGAGAGGCCTGCTTGCCAGCCTTCTGCCCTCTGACTATGGCTCCTGGGAGATTTTACCCTTCCCTTTAAAACCAGCATTTGGGCTTATTGGATTTTGGGACACTTTTTCTGCCAATTTGGATCCATGGGAAGGTGTGCCTCCCCCCCATTGTTCTCCAGCAGGGCGTTGTCCCAGGGACCCTGCCAGAGCAGTTGGAACTGGCTGATTTGTCCCTCCTCAGTCACAAAGGACTTCCGACTAACTTTTTATCTACTGGAGGGATTTGTATGATTTTTAAGAGTGTTCATATTTGAAGTATGCTGAGTAAGAATATGTGATTTATGGAGATTGGATGTATAGTTTTAAAGTTACAGTATATGTGTAAAAAGTATATTTTCCTGCCTGTGATAATTACAGTAACCCATTGTGTACAGTAATTATATCACAGGCAGAGGGGAGGATTTTCTGGGAATGAATGGGAGTATTTTACTGTATATTATGTGTTTTATTGGTTGTTTTACAAAACCCTGTG